ACGCACGCACGCACACAACACACACACACACACACACACACACACACAAATAAACAAGTTGGCAAACAGCAAAGTAATACAAGATCAAAGCTATGCTAAAGCGAGAGAGAGAAAAAAAAACTCCGAAAGCGATCACAATGATCGAGAAACTATAATCACAACCATATCTGCACCAATCACCTCTTGACACCACAAGGACAATGAGGTTCTCTCGCTTTGCTTCCTTTCATGTTTTTATGAGCTATCCTCGCAGGAACTGCTCGCCCATTTCGTTGTTGAGTAACATGGGCATGAAAGAGAGGGCTTCTTCACGGATGGTGCAGCCTGTTACTCTTCTCTTGAAATAGGCTTTTGCCCGCTTTATAAATAAAACAAACATTCATACAACCAAGTGCCATGAGTCATAGAAAACAAGATGGCTGGGCAACATCAGAATCACGCCTCAAAAAGCACAAGTGAGATAGAGAAAAAAAGCCATTGAGTGGCAATCTAAAAGGCGGCCCTACGAAGACGAAAATGGACGCGCTGTAGCCAGAAGCATGTCCAGCATGAGTCCGATACGGTCGCGGCTCCGCAGCCTAGAAAGCAGGTGCCAGTGTTGCAAGAAAGCAAAGAATTTGAAGTACGAGTCAGAGTCCCACCGCCGGTAGTCTCTGAGTCACCACAACATGGAGGTGAAAGAGAGAGACAAACATAGTTCTCTCCTTAGCTAGGGACTCCAAAGTGAGAAGAAACAAATTTACAAGGGTCTTTCTAAAAAAATCGATCCATGTCGAGGTTGGCAAAGTGCCACGCCAGCTGGTCAGAGCAGTCTTGAGTACAATGGGACGTGTGATGAACCACTTATGAAATATTTGAGACCTATATGTGCATCTTCAAAAGAACTAGGACTAACTTACACTTATCAAGAGAGCTAGGACTATACACAAGAACCAATAATATAAGGAAAAACATCTATCAACCAGTGAAAATGAAAAATTATGCATGCACACATAGCCTAATATAGAGTCGCCATCCAAACATGTTGTAAGTAACCCGGCTGACGATCTCCAATTGATTAATGACATATTTTCCCGTGATTCCGCCTGACGAAGTAAGGACCACACACGGGTCCATTCTCTAGCTTGAAAATGAACTGCAAAATGTGTTGTATCTTTACTATGTTAAAAATACAATCTTTGTGACAATTCCGTAATGACCAAAGCAAAGCACAAACTCCCACACAGATATATGAAATGATTAACCCATGGTTAGTTGCTTTGGGGGCCTTGGTCTTATGCAAGAGAAAAGAAAATGTAAAGACACATTTTGGACAGAGGGAGTACTTTCTTTTCTTGGATGAAACAATTGCAAATAACTAGTTGGTTCTGCTTTTGTCCACAGGATCCGTGTGCCATTGCGGAAAATTGTATGTACTGGTTAAGAGCACCAAGAACTTTAGATGGACTTCTTGGCTTGAACGACAAACCAGCTGCACAGAAGAATAGTGAGAAGGATGCACCAGAGGTGTTCAATCCCGGTGCACAGAAGGGTAGTGAGAACGATGCACCAGAGACAGAGAAACAAGACGACATGACGAAAACCGGGACAATCGCATCAGCTGCACCAGAGAGACAACAAAACTACATGACGACAAATAGGTCAACTGTATCAGCTCTGATCGCCACCGTGGCATTCGCGGCAGCTTTCACCGTACCGGGGGGCTTTGTCACCGACGACCACGCTCGTGCGGGGACGGCAATACTGGCGAGACGTTTTGCGTTCAAAGCATTTGTGGTGTCAGACACAATGGCATTCGTCTGCTCCATCGTCGCCACCTGCTTCGACATATATGGCGGCGCACAGGAGATTCCCGACAGCCACCGTCGCAGTTACAAGTTGCTGGCATCTGGCTTGGTGCCGATAGGATCACAGTCGATGATTGCTGCGTTCGCATTTGGGTTTCACCTCGTCGTGGGCTCAGTCAACCGTTCGCTCATCATCTTAGTTTACATCTTGTCCTTGGTTGCAGTGCTCTTCTGCTTCCCTGGCATCTGGGCTCCCGTCCATCTTGGGATGGGAAAAGCACTATGGCGTCGAGCCGGATGGAAGGGACTTGCCAACATACACAAGCGCCCATCGAACCAGCCGCTATTGTTCCTCTTGTTGAGTAGCTTTCTGTTCATAAATGTTAGACGACCATTGTTCGTATTGCTCATCTCCGCTACGTTCGTCGTCGCCATCATACTTAGCATTGCTTTGCCAAACTACTGAGCTAGCTTGAATGTTATTTCTAAAGTATTCCATTAATGTATGAGTTGTGATGTCAGTCTGTAATTTTTTTTTTCAAAAAGGAAGATGACCCTGGCCTCTGCATCGGGACGATGCATGCATTTATGCACGTGCCAATTCATAGACTATTCCTTTTGAGAGCTGCTAAACCTGAATATTATTACATGCATGCAGCAATGCAAATCAGGGGCCACCCAATGAAGAGATTCTTTTTCGGAATGCACAAGTCGCTTCACTAAGATAGAAATGACGAGTACAAAAACTGAATATTATTATTACTCCCTCCGTCTAGGTGTGTAAGTCATCTTACATTGTGCACCGCGACCAAGACGCAGAGGAAAATGAGAAAGCTTAATGTCTTTTTGCTAATTAATAGCATTGCATGTAATGAACTAACCACTGCATGTCATGTTTGGTAGTCTCAAGTCATTGAAAGCATGCACGGCCCACATCTCTTATTGGTTGATATGTCACAAAACAAAAAACGAGGATGAAGTTAATGTACCATGACTAAGTATTTTGAGATTATTTGGTTTTCGTAAAATGACTTACACGCCTAGACGGAGGGAGTACATGCAACGCAAATCAGGGGCCACCATTGGCCAGTCATTGAGGCACTTGTTGTTTTCGGAATGCGTTTCGCTTAATTATCATAAGAACAAACGAGTACGAAAATATTACAAGCAGTAGGCTGTCTTAAGTCAAAGTCCAAATTAAACCACCTGTCCACCAATCCACCAGGAAACGAAGAATATTGAATCAGGATGTCCCGGAAAATGAGCCCCGTACAAGGGTATGAAAAATGGTCTCCGGTTCCTAAAGACACAACAGGCAGCAAGGCTGATGAGGCAATCCTCGCGTCAGGGGTCTGTCAGAGGTTCAGCATATATTTTTGAGCGCAAGCCAAGCGAAAAAACTAAGCTGCAACGGAGCACGAGAATCCCGAGACCTCTCCCATGCCAGGCGTGCAACGGAAGCTAAAGACGAACGGGTGATAGGCATTCTTCACCGAGTATGAAGTCCTTTAATCCGTCCAAATCCAGCTGAAAGTTACCGAAAAAGACTTCCGCCCTGCTTTATATATAAAGCACCGATCACAACAAGCACCCAGTACAAACACACGCCACCGCAACACACGCACACACCCAGGACAGGATACATAGGCGCTGAGCGCAACAACATCACCCTTAGCACTACTACCACGAAGAGATGAAGCTACATATGACGGACCATGTGCTTCAAGGCGACGCCTTCAGGAAGGGTACGACACCGGCGCGCCGCCACCGCCCGATTCAAGGATCAGAGTTTCCCCTGAAGCCGCATAATGGGCAATGAGAGTCGCGACGACGCCTTCAAGAAGGGAACAGTCTCTGCCGTCGCCGGTCCGTCCGAAGATAGAGCAGGTTTTCACCTCGGCCAACACTCACCGCCACCGAACGCCACACCCAGGCAACCACGCCGCCCACACGGCCATGATGACCGGGAAGCACCAAGGCACGGGCTTTGCCCAAGAGCACCGCGCTACCACCACCAGGGCCACCGCCCCGGCATCCAAGACCTTGACACCACCTCACACGAGACCCGCCGCAACCCCCACTAAAGAGACGAGCGGAAAGGTCCCACCTTTCGCACCCCTGGGCGACCCCAGCGTCGAGACCCGATAGGTCGGCCCGAACTGGCATCCACCGGCCCATCCTGCTGCCCCGTGCGCGAGATGAGCTTGGTCCTGCAGCACCGAAAAGGGGAGGAGGTCAGTCTTGCTGCACCGTGCGCGAGACGAGCTCAGTCCTGCTGCATCGTGCGTGAGACGAGTTCGATCCTGCAGCACCGGGCGCGAGACGAGCGGTAGACCGCAGCTAGGAGAGGACCAGCCCTTTGATGGGAGTAATGCCCGGGCGACGAGGAGATGGGGCGAAGGCCGAGACGGCCCGAACATAGACGACCCAACGACGGGGAAGCCGGCCGCCGCTGCGGGCAGATCCGTCAACCACCATGAAACCGCCACGACACCGGGAGAGCACTGCAAATCAACATATTAGCGCTGAGTGCCTTTTTTTTGGAACAGGTACGGCAAGTACTAGGTTGTGTCCGTATTGGAGTCTTTGTAATCTGATGCTATAAATAAAGAAGAAAACTCCCTGTTGGGGCAGCTTCTTCTTCTTCTAGACTACCTCACGTAGCTCTCACAAAGACAACGGACTCCAGAATATTTGGTGGCCGCAGTCTCACACCGCCGGCCTTTTCTCTTCTCTATTCTCTTTTCTCCAAAACAAACATGAGTTACAATCCCTATATAGCACATGCGCACACGTTTCACCCGCCACACTCGGCCACCACTAGCACGTACGCACGGCCAGCTAACCCACTAACCAACCACGTACTAATCAGGAGTCGCTCTATGATCCAGACGAAGCGGCCGGCTAGGTAGCTAACGAATTTACTGATTTTCTCTAGTTGACTATCCATCCGCCCCAGCCTTCCGCGCCTCCTTGCCGTCTCTCACGGCCGCGTTGCATCTCACAACACTATGGCATCACGCCTCGCCACATCCACGCAGCAGCGAGCATCTCGCCTTCATCGCGCGCCTTGCCGTGAGCTTGCCGGATGAGTCCCTAAACTGAACTACATGCAGAACCAAAGCAAACTAGAAATGCAGATACAATCAAGATTAAACCTAACACTCCCTGGGAAGACTACGGGCTGAGGCAAAACAAATATTCTCCCGTGTGCGCGTACGTGTGTTTCGGCGACTCCAAGATTGATCTATACGGCGACTTGTACGTGCATATGTGTGTACGTGGGAATCGATCCAGCAGGTTGCTTGCTTGCTTTTAGCTCGTACGTGGTTCAGTCCCGGAAGTTGCACCAGTGGACGGCGGCTATCCGATCTACGGCAAGCAGCGGGAGTTCCAACACCGACATCACGCCCGTCGCCGCGGATGTCGGAGAAGGTGGCCTCCAGCATGCGGAGCTCAGCCGTGCGGTCATGGGCGGTGGCCATGGCAGACTCCATCGAGGTGTTGTTATCTTTTCTCTTGGTGTGGCAGGCAATGCGGCCAAAGACGGCTTGCAAGTTTGCAACCGTCTCCTCTCTGCTCTGCTTTTCCTCTGCAATTTCTCTCTGGTATAAGCTTTTACAAATTTTCAAGCTTTGACTGTTGATTTTCTACCAATGATATTATAACATGCTTCCAATAAAAAAATATTCCTAATCCTGCAAATCACACACTCAAAACCAACGGTTATTATCTTGTTTTGGTTTGTAAACATCAAAACTGTACACATGACACGCTAACACTGAAACCTAGCAATCTAATGACAACCCCATGAAAACAGAATGAGCAATAGGATAAGAAAAATGCCGTACGTAACTGACTCTGTGGCTGAAGACATAGTATATATGGTTGGACCCTCCTCCTTTATCCGGGCTTGGAACCGGCTATGAATAATGTTACTAAGCACAAGCTTAACAACAATACATAGGCGGAGTTCCCCCACCTACCACACCCCTAAAAAAATCCACCCACTGGCCAAAACCCAAACATAAATAAAACTACAAATTGCATAAAACCTAAAACCTATTTTTTTGGATTTTCTTTGCTTGATGCAATATTATCAAAGTAAAAAAAAATAGATTTTGGTTTACAAGATATTTAAAAAACAATCAATTAAAATTGAGAAAAATAAATAGATAGAAGTACGAGGATCTGATCCGACGAGCGAGGTCATTCCAGGGGTCGATCCGATGGCCCAGATCGCATCAAGCAGCCAGATCCAACGGCTAGAAATCCAAATCACTGAGGAGGCTCGGTGAGACATTCCTCTCTTATTTCTGGATTCAAAAGAACACACTATAAAGAAGACTCTTGGCATATCACGAGCTAACCCGAGCAATGGCGGCGCCGGCCACAACTAACGGGTCAATGGTATTTTTTGAATTTTTTCTTCACAATGAACAATAATTCTAGGCTGTTTTCCAAAAGAACCGTGGGGTCGGCTGACCCCACAGCTTATGTAGGTTCGCCGCTGAAGCCGAGCATAGCTCAAAACACGGACGGCTTCCAACAAACACTCGGCTTACATAGGAAAAAGTACTCGGCCTATGGACGAACCTTGGCATGGTGGCTGCCATGTGTCCAGCCAGCACGGGGCGTCTCCGTGATAGCGGGTTCTATTAGCCGAGTACCCACTAATGGCGTACTCGGCATAATTTTTGCTTTTCTTTTTTTAAACGCCGGCCCATCGCCTTCCTGTGAGATGAGTGTGCGAAAATAAGAGGGTGTTTGTTTCAAGGGACTTATTGGTTTAGGGATTTAAAAAAATCCTTATAGGTCCCATCTAAACCAAACAGGAGGGACTTATAGGGACTTAAAGTGGTGATTTGGGACTTATAAAAAAAGACTCTCAGGGAGGAATTTATAGGGACTTTTCCATCGATTACCCCTGCCCCGCACCTACCTTATCGCTTCCCCGCATCCCCGCTTCGCTCCTTCCCCTCACCCTGCTCCAATCGCCGCCGCCGCCGGCAGTGCCCTGAACCGCCGCCGCCATGGCCGACGATGAGGAGGACCGGATCCCCTTCTTCTCTCAGTTCCCCTCGCATCATCAGGCATCCCAGGGCTCATCCTCCAGAGGAAATCTCGGGAGGAGAATGGGATTCTAGGATATCAACAGCAATGTCGACGACTTCCCGGAGTTGGGCTCATACCAGCAACTCCTCCTTGACCAGTCCTAATTTCGTGCCCAGACAACCCCCTCGTCTCCTTACAGTTACGTATGCATCGAGCGACAACTTTGGACCGCCTCTGCCCGAGCTCAACGGTCTGCCGACAATCCCCTCTCCCGAAGTGCGTCGCCAGCAACCACTGCGCGGTCCGGTGCGCCACAGTCGTCGTCGCCAGGGAGTGCACCATGCCCCCCCATCATTGTCGACGAGCTGCACCCCCACCTCGAAGCCATCACCGGTCTCCACCCCAACCTCG